TTCTTCATTACCCCTTTAAGCCGTCTCCAGCCATTATTAATCTCAAAGTGGGTTCCTCGTCATCGAATCTCATATGTAGCTTTATGCTAAATTAACAAAACAACCAAATCAGTTGTTTTCTAAGTGGCTAAAAAAATCATGAGAACATCTTCTAGTAAAAATCTGCTATTGTTGGAACTTTAAATTAGGAAAGTCAAAATTTTTTTTTCCTATCAGAGGTTTTTCCTTGCCAAAAACTTTCTATTCTGAGTAGTAAATGAAACTCATCAACTATCAGTTGATTGAAATTAGTTGAATTTGATGAAGGAAAACTGTCTGGCACTACAAACTAGGCTATGGCAGTAGAACACAAACATATTTTAGAGTTTTCTCTGCATTTCAACATATCTCCCTAGTCAGTTACTTGTCTTTGAGTTTTGTGGTAATAATGACAAACTCTTGGAAATACAATAATATGTCAACCACTCTATATCTGTCATGTTCAGTGCAGATGAGGCCTTTGGCGTTATGCCAAGGCTCATCAAGCCAGCTGTGATACAACAGTGATGGTTGTGGTCTTATATGTCAGTTGCGTGAACAACTGTTATACTAGATTAAGTAAATGAAGTTTAATTATTATCTATTTTATTTAAGTTATTTACTATCCAGAATTAGGCTGAGGATTAGTAACAAAATATTATTTATTTAGTTTTGATACCAGTTATTATTTTTTGATAGATTGTTTAGGCAGAGTATTCATTATTATTATATTTTTTTTACTCAGATTAATTTTAACATCATTCAGAAGAACTAAGAAGCTAGCCTTTTTGTTGCGTTATTTAGTTTTAAAGTTCAGGCATTATATATTTTAAACATTTTGGGAATCAATTTCTTTTCTGATCACCTTGCACGAGAATCTTCAGTGTTTTCTGAAATGTTTAAGTGTCCGAATTATTCGTTATTTTAATGAATAATGCTGATTTTAACTGGGTAGAATGGGTTATGTTTCTTATTATTAATATTAACTTCCGATTAGAGCAAAATACCTTCTTATAGCAAAACTAAAAATGAACATTACACAACATTATGTATAAATGTTTTAAACATGACATTTATTAAACAAACTTGTCATTTAAAATGAACTAAGTTTAAATTTTATTGATTAAGATATTTTAATTTTTCACTCTAATGAGTCTTGACATTGTTATACACTGTACAGGTACTGGAACAACGACGATCACGATGTGAACACATGGACCTTGACCCCTTGGTTTGGACCAATCAGAGGTTTATTAAATGGGTTCAAAGTATTGATTTGGTGGTAAGTATTCATAAAGAATATACTGTGTTAACATCTTTCTGTCAGTCATTTAAGATACTGATATATTTTGGTTATTTGATTTCAGCCATTCACACTACTTAATAATTTAATTCCTTCACACTACTTAATGATTTAATTCCTTCACACTACTTAATAATTTAATTCCTTCACACTACTTAATAATTTAATTCCTTCACACTACTTAGTAATTTAATTCCTTCACACTCCTTAATAATTCAATTCGTTCACACTACTTAATAATTCAATTCGTTCACACTACTTAATAATTCAATTCCTTCACACTACTTAATAATCCAATTCCTTCACACCACTTACTGGTTTCATTTATTTGTTAATATTGCCAGCTTATTACAGTCATTACGTCCCAGCTGCTGGGAAAGGGTTAAACCCACCCTTTACATTCTGGGAATTCAGATATTTTCCTCCTACATCCTTATAATGTCCTATTTACAAAACTGCCAGTACCAATGTGTTTCTTAAACTGATTATCTAGTTAGAAAAATAAAACTTTCTTAGCCTGTCTTTCCTAAATCTTCTGTCCTATCATTCTGTTGTCTCCAGTGACTCTTATCCTGGGAGAAAAGAATTTAAGAGTTCTAAGCATATTCTTGAAAGACAACCTTGTCATCCTATTACCCCTTCTCTGAACCAGTTCCTGTAAACCAGTATCCTCTCTAAGGATACCAAAACTGTACCCAGCATTAGGAATGAGGCCTAAAAAAGTGATTTGTAAAGAGAGAGAGTGTTATCTATTTCTGAATTGTAATCGACATGCCTATAGATACACCATAACTTCTGTTAGCTTTGTTACTAGTAACAGAGCATTGTTCTGATGGCTTGAGTGATTTATCTGCTACTATACCAAGATTCAGTCACACCATTAAGTGGGTTCGTATCTATAATAAGTATGACAATCGAAATGTATTACCTAGGATTTACTAAAATTAAAGGTCATTTGTAGTATCCCAATATCCTCAAAACAGTCAAGAATTTAATGTTATCAGCAAACGTTGTTTTATTATTATACCCTATCAATATCATTAATGTAAATAAAAAGAAGCAAAGGCCCAAGCACTGACCATTGTACATTAGTAACAAAGATCTTGTTTGATTGGACTCCATTAATAACAACATTTTTTTTGTTTTATTCCACCCAACACTATTCAATACAATTAACTAATCCAACCCTTCCTGGTTGACTTTTCTGTTCGTAGCACCTTATAAAAAGCTTTAAGTGCACCAAGTTCACACCCTTTCTATCCTATGGATAACAAGTAAAATAATAAACAAAGTTAGGTTAGTAAGGTAATATTTATGTTTAGTGAATCCATGCTGACTCTTATTTTATGATATTACATTTAAATAATGTATTTTCAAAGCATTTTTTCACTACAGAAGTGAAACTAACTGTTCTATAATTCACGGGACAACTCCTATTATCTCCCCTAGTAACGTTATCAATTTTCCAATCCTAAGGCACCTGACCCGTGTCCAGTGAAATGAAAGAGAGGCACATATACCTGATCTTTCACCTTTAAATCCCTAGGAAAACATTACTTGGTCCATATAACTTATCTGTTTTTAATTTTCCATTGTTTTTACTGACCACCAAGAGATTAATTTGTACAGGATTCGGGTCAGTTCTAATATTTCTTATTGAGTGACAGAGTATATATCACTTAAAAGCTTAACCATCTCATAGTTTTCAACAAAAACCCTTGCCATCTGCATCCCTTAAGGGCCTAATTCCAATTTTAGCATGTGTAGAAACATGTTTGGTGTTACTTTTAACACTGCTATTTTTCATGAACTATTTCTGTGTTTATAATTTTTTTACAACCAGTTCTCTAGCTTTTATATAGTTCTACAAATCTTCCAAGCCTACCTGTCAGTTTGAACTTTGTAACTTGTATTAATTATCCCTAATTTACTAAGTAGGTTTAATCTTCCATGTTATCATTTTCCCATTTCTATTTTGAATTGAAAAACATTTTTTTATTTCTCTTACATCTTTTTTTAACTCTTTACCCCCAATTCATAACGATAAATCTTCTTGTACAGACTAAGAATTGGCTTCCTAGGATTTCAAACTTCATTTTTCTTGATCTCAACATGTAACGGACAAGTAAATCTGATCACTCTTCCTGAAATATTTGCCCACGACAATTCCTGTAATGATATCCTTATCAGTAGTTAACAAATCATTACATTATGTGATAACTGACTAACATGTAACTTATTGTGGTGTAGGAATATGCAGAAAACCTTAAGGATAGTGGTGTCCATGGTGCACTGGTCGTGCTGGAGTTATCATTTACTGCTGACACTATGGCAACAGCTTTAGGCATTCCGACTTCAAAAAACATTATACGAAGACACCTAACAACAGAGCTAGAAAACTTAATTCAGCCAGCTAGGTAAGTGATCTCATATATGTTAAACAACAGAGCTAGAAAACTTAATACAGCCAGCTAGGTAAGTGAACTCATGTATATTAAACAACAGACTAGACAACTTAATTCAGCCAGCTAGGTAAGTGATCTCATATATATATTAAACAACAGACTAGACAACTTAATTCAGCCAGCTAGGTAAGTGATCTCATATATATATTAAACAACAGACTAGACAACTTAATTCAGCCAGCTAGGTAAGTGATCTCATATATATATTAAACAACAGACT